AAAAGAACATACAAAACCCCTGACATCTTTATCTGCACTAACCTCTCAGTGCATGTTAACAGTGCTTTTGATTATGAATGTAGCCCATGACTGTGTCACAACAGATACATGCAGAGACCACAAAATAGCATGTTCACTTTCATTATGCCCAAATTATGGTAACTGTTAGACCTTGTTCTGTAATGTTATTAAATGCTACATCATAACCTTGGCTCTTGATATTTTGATAACTTATGTTTCAATACCATTTATTTTCTTTGTTATCCTATGCATTTGTATCTAGGTCCTTTAAAGTGTTTCCTAAGAAGGAGTCTAGAGGCTTCACCAGATTGCCAAGAGGATCCATAGCACAAAAGCGGTTAGAGAACCCCTGCCTGGTGAAGTAAAGGTGTGAGCACTATAGCCAAAAAACACGGATTCCAATCCAGGCTCGGCCAATTTCTAGTTCTGCTCCTTTGAGCAAAAGGATTTAAACTCTCTGAGCCTTGAATTTCCCCATCTTGACTGAGGGAGCCAACACAGAAACAATACCTACATCGTTCATCAACAACTTAACTGAACACCTGGTGACTGCGCCAGGCACAAGGCTGAGTTCTGGGGCTACAGCAATGAACATGACAGAGAGGGAGGGCCCCTCGGTACTTTCTACAGAAGGTCATGCCACGTACACTGTTTAGCAGTGACTGGCACATAAGCATTCTATAAACACTGCAGTCCTGCTAAACCCACAACGTTTAGTGTTTAATTATGTGCTGATTACATTGCCTCCCATGTAACAATTGTTGGTTCATCGAGCTCCGTGCCCTCCCAACAAAGCTTCCCGGAGGCTAGGGGCTGGGGATCACGCTCACAGAGGGCACAGCTTGTTGGGTGGAAGAACACAGGATTTGGAATCAAATGGCCCTGGCCTCGAAACCCCACTCTGCCATGGCTAGCTCTGTTGACTATACCAGAGACCAGTAGCTGTCCCCCAAAATCTGTCCTCTACTTCCTCTACAGTAATAGAATTCCTAGATTTTGGCTGCACACATGGACACTCAGAATCAAGGATAATATTTCCCAGCCTCCCTTGCAGCAAAGTATGGTCATGTGATCAAATTCTACCCAATGGGGATATAAGCAGAAGTGATGTGTATAACTTCCTAAAAGCATCCTTAAATTAAGAGGGCCTGCCCTTTACCTATCCTTTTCCCTGCCAGCACGGCCATGAGGGACATGAGATGCCCTTGGGAATGGAGGCGTGCACGTGGAGCAAGACAGAAGGGGCCTGGGTCCTACCATTGTGGAGCACATTTCTAGCTGGTACAGTGATCTACCTTTGGCAAGTTCCTCCACCTCCCTGGGCCTCCATATCCCTATCTACAAAAAGGTGGTCAGATGAGGTCTCGACCCAGCAAGGCTGTGTTGAGGACTTAATGAGATGGGGCTTGCTTCACAGTAAGGGCTTGTGATATTACCACTGTTCTTATCTCGCTGCAAAGAAAAATGTTGGAAATGGAGACATCTTAACACTGCCCTGGGGGCTCAGAGGGGGCTCAACAATCACACACTTGAAAGGCACCCCAGCCACGACAGTCCTCCAGACAAGAATTCCCTCTCTGCCCAAAGAAGCTTCCCTAAGTAACTGGGAAGTAAGCGATCGCTTCCTGAGCCCATCCTTTTCAAATAGAGGCTTCCCACGCTCTCCAAACGAAATTCTCTCCCATCGGAGAAGACTACAGGACCCTCAGCCACCGACAGGCTTTCCTGCATGGATCCAGAGAGGTCCCAACCGCCTCCATTGGGAGTGTTCTGTTGCTAACACTTTTAAAGCGATTTCATCTTGTTTGCAGCATCAGCACTGAGCTGGGAGGCATAACTCTTCCTGGCAATGCAAAAGTGAAATTTGCTTTATGCGCCTAAAGCTCATATTCATCTTTCCTGATAGTTCCCTCCCTGTTCCTCAGACACAAATCCTAATCTGTCTCTCCCAGAGTTGTCATCCTGTGTCACTGTCACCCACAAAGGCTGCTCCCAGGCACAGACACCACCAGCTCTCTCTCCTTCTGCCCCTCTGGCTCCGCCCATTCTCAGTAGTAGAACTTTACTCTCCTCATGGTTTAACAGGTCCAGGCTTTAGAACTGGAACAAGGGTGGCTGTGGCAGCCAATGGCTCCCCAGAGGGGTGGGAACCCAGAGCTGCAACAGGAAGAAACAAGACAGTGGTCAAGAGGGCAGGAATCAGCGCCCAGCCAAGGAGAAGAGGAGGAATCTGACCCAGACATGGCAAAGGACCGGGAGCAGAAAGCACAGGCCTAATGATGTCAGAGGAGCCACAAGCATCTCGGAGATCCGCCCTGTATCCCCCCAGGGTTTCCCAACTCGCATTGCCTTTCTGGAGGCTGGCTGCACCTCCGATCAGCCTCACTTTGCAGAGCACTTAGCCTTCTCCTACTTTTCACACGCACACAATTTTACTCCAGGGGTGTGGCTCACATGGGCATAAAACCTGGGGATTCTTTGCTGTTTCAAAGTCACATTACACATTAATTTGCATGACACAGCAAGAACGCTGCCCCATGAATCACTCCACAACCGACTACAAGCAGGAAACGAGACCCCCAACGTGGGTTATGTCCCCGCTCCAAATACCTTCTGCTCTCCAAGGTCCCCTCCACCGTGCTCAGAGCCACCGAGGAAGGAGAAAAGAGGGGACTTCTTCAGTGGGGCCCAAAAGACCAGGCAGAGATGGATGTGTGTCCACAGTTCCAAACCTCCCCACTCCCACCACGTCCGTCTCCTGCCACCATTCCCCTTCAAGGCCACCTGGAGGCTCACTGTCCTCCACAGCACCTGCTTATACGCGAGGCTGGGAGTGAAGGGAAGACAACAGTGCAGGTGCCAGGGCCCAAGCTTCCACTCCACAGAGCGGCCCAGCACAGGGACCGGCCGGGACTTACAGTCCTTGAGCAGCCAGAGGAAACAAAAGGCACAAATGTCACATCTCCTTGTTTTCCCATGGCGCTTCCCTCTGCCCTGGGCCCCACCCGACCACTCTGCCTCTTTCCCGCCTTCGCCACACAACCCGCCCCACACCTGAACCTCCCAGAGGGCTTTCCTTGTTGGTCCTCCTGAATCCACATGAATCACTAATTACTGACTTACACCCAGACACTAAGCGAATGACAAATACAGAATCACAAATGGCAATCGGATCGTTAGGGCTGGCGAACAGAGAGCTTCCTGCCTTCTGAGTCCACCTGAACACACGGGAGACACTATCCTAACCCACACCTGGGTGGAGGCTCTGCTGACTACACTGCCGCCAGGCTAGGTGTGTGTGCATGCGTCAGGGCAGGGAGGGCTGGCATTAATGAACTTACACGCTGCTTCCTTCACGTGCTACGCACTGGAATTACCTAGGACGGCTGAAAGTCGGATGCCTGGGTCACCCTCCCAGAGAATCTAGTTGAATTGGTCTGGGGTTGCCTCCTGGACTTTAATTTTTAATAAATTTTTAATTGATTTCAGAGAGGAAGAGAGAGAGAAACATCAATGATGAGAGAGAATCATTGATTGGTTGCCTCCTGCATGCCCTACACTGGGAATTGAGCCCACAACCCAGGCATGTGCCCTGACCGGGAATCGAACCCTGACCTCCTGGTTCACAGGTCGATGCTCAACCATTGAGCCATGATGGCTGGGCCTGCCTGGACTTTTAAAAGCTCCCCCAGTGATTCCAACCTGCACCCAAGTTTGCAAACCACTGACTGCACACATTTATGATGTGTTCAGGCATTTTTCAAAACAGTCAAGATGTTCAGAGCACTCACAGCCTTTCACTGTCAAGATAGCCCTTGGAGGCCTCATCCCATCTTACTGGGGCTCAGACGTCAATCCCGGTAAGGCCGAGACTGGAACTCGGGTTCTCTAACCCCAGGCTCCGTTCTGTCCACCCACCTGAGAACTCTCACCAGGGTGTAGACAAGGCATGAAAGCAATCTCCACTGCCAGTAGGTCATGGACAAACCCCATCAATACAAGAAGCCTGGACTTGGAGGTGCAGAGACCCAGGCAGCAGTGACGATCGGTTCTGAACGCAGGGGACCCAGCCATCAGAGAGGGCGGGAGGTGTGCTCACGTGTGAGGCCTGGGGCAATGCAGAGAGACAGACAGATCCTGGCCAGGGAGCTTATCCGGGACCCCATGTGTCCTAACATACGTCACTGAAGACGGAGCTCAATGGCAGGGAAAGTAGTTTTGAATTTGAGGATGGACAAGTGTTAGGCACTGGGAAGAGAATCCTTGAGGCGTCCAAGGTTTGCCTCTCAGTGCCAGTTTCTTTGTCCAGCTCTAAGCATTCTGGCCGTCTGTGGGGGCACAAAAACCAATCCTAATACATCCCCAAACCGGGCAGCTGCAATCCCCCCAGCCTCTCTTCCTGCCAGAGCAACAATCCGAGCTTCCTTGGTGAGGGGACATATGACAGTGCCTTCAAACATGTGTTTGTATCCAGACTACTTAGGTAGCACAAAGCATCCCTTCAACCCCTTTCCAACCACGCCTACCTCCCCATCAGCATCACCACACCAACCTCCCCGACACAGTAGGAATAATGTTGCCACGTCAGGTTAAGAATTTACATGGACCATCACAGAGGTGAAGCCACTCAAGCACGTGTGTAATACTGCAAAGAACCAGCCCACAACCCGCATGGAGTCCCCCAACCACTGACGGGCAGATGGGAGACCTCATCTCTGCAAAGCCTGGGACAGACACTTTAAGGGCAGCAAATGTTCCTTCTTACAGACCACATACGTTGTCCCACTATTCCTCCCCGGCCAGAAATGGGCCTCTTAGTTCACCAGTCCAACCTGTGCCACACAACCTGTGCCATACAACCTGTGTCACACACCAGCCGCCTCCTGGTGTTGATGGGAAAGAACCACACGGAATTACAGGAACCAACAGCAGGTTAAACTTTCCCATTGATCGATCGCGCTGATAGCAATGCCACTTACCCAGCACAGCCAGACAGCTCAGCACCGGGAGAAAGCGCTTCATGTCGGCAGCAGAGAGAAGTCACAACACGGGGCGCTTCCTCCTCTCCCGGGACTTAATCTCTCATTGCTGGCAATCCACTCACAGCTCCGGGGGACAGTTTTGGAAACAGAACTTAACTCAGAAAATAAGAAAAGGTTAAAGAGAAGAGATCAGCAGGAGGCAGTCGGGAGGACCACGGGTGGGTGGTGTGTGTTAAACTCCCCGATGCAAAGAAAGGGTCCAGCACACTCCTGCAGGCGCTCTGGGCTCCTGCCACATCGTGTGCCTTGCGGTTTCCACTGGAATTATAGATTGTGGTGGGCTAATCCTCCAGGAAAAGGGGAAAAGAGTCTGAGAAAATCCTTTCATCCGCTGATTATACAGAAATGTCCTTGGCTTCCCAGTGAAGGTGTCTGCACTCTCCCTCATTCGGATTCCCCACAGGGGCCTGGGCAGGTTTTGTCAAAGCCTTTGACAGCCAAATCGGCCCTGGCTAACAGCGACTGCTTGGGTTTCTTCGTGGAAAAGTGCACTCCATCCATGATGGGAGGTCAAGGAGCTGCCACCGGCCCCAGACCTGCCTGGCACACACGAAGCCAGTTGGCGTTTCCGAGCCCTGAGGCGGTCCCCAATGCCAGCAGATTTCTAAAACAAACACAACAAAGATTTATCAAAGCCCAACACGCCGGCCACAAAACCCAGAGAAAGGCAGAGCCCGCGAACACCTGGGTCCCTTCCCCGGACCAGGACAGACGCTTTACATTCTGACCTTGGTCAAGCCGCTACGTCGGCCTCCGCCTCAGTTTCCCCGCCCAGAGCAGGGCAATTGTGGGCAGCCGGATGGTGCCTGCCGTACTTTTGCCAAATGCTTCACTCCTGGGAATTCCCGTCGCCTCGCGCCGAGCCCGGCGCCACCGGCAGCCCCACCCTCCGCGGGCGCAATTCGGTCTGGGGCTCCGAGGTGGGGCGGCCACTCCCCGGTTCCACCCCCGGGCCCGCCCCTACGTGGGAGCCCGGCGCGCGCCGCGTCCCTGGTGGCCCGCTAATGTTTAACCTTCCCCGGGTGTGTATTTTTCCGCTTGAGTGGGAAGAAAGAGACGAGGGAGAAGGGCGCCGAGGCTGCGCTTTACGCTGCCGGACACGCTCGCTGGGCGCCCGACCGGCCGGAGGAGGGTCTGGGGCCGACCCCCGAGCGCAGCCGCGCCCGCCCGCCGCGCACACTCGCGCCTCCGGGCCACGCTCCGCCCGCTGCCGCCCGAGCACGCGTCGCCCTCGCTCCCCTATGCTCACCTCCCGCGGCCCTCTCCCTCTACGCGCCGGTCCGTCTGCCGGT